ATGACAAGCATTTGATGAAGATACTTGTAATGTTGTAGACACCATCTCTCATTCAGTGCTTATCTCAGAGGCCTCAAAATTGTAATATTGTTAAATAGAAAATTCCAACACTTTAAGAAACCTTCTTTTGGTATTTTGCTTTATGGTTTGCTTGTTTATTTTATCAGAATATTTTAATAGTGAATACCTTGTTTTCAACATGGGAATAGGCTTGGGGTTTCAAGTATTTGTGTATACCTCCATTGGATTCTAATGCAATTTTCTCTTTAAATATTTTCTTGGAAAGAATAAAAGCGAAGGTTGTAAATATTATTGTTACAACTTGAATTAAATGTGGTTAGGACACTGACAGTTTCTCTTCTGTCCACTGACTGTATGAAAGTGTGCTTAAGAGAGTTTTTTTTTTTCAAAAAAAATGCGAATATGAGTGGTGCTGTTTTACTTTTGAAGGCTCGCTGCCTTTAAAAGCCAGAATCTCAGAAGCAGCTCAGCCAGAGGATTTTAGAATAAATCCTCTCTAAATGCATGCCCATATAGAAGCTAAATTAACAAAACTTTCCTCATCCACTTCTCAAGTTTTCTCTTGCATGCCCGTGATAGTTAGAATATATATATATCACTGGCAGTAAGGGTCTTTGCTACGAATTTAGAAGGAAAACTCACGTGTACTTATTCTTCCACATAGTGTCTCTTCTTGCAGTCAAAACAGAGCCCTTGAACAGCAATGAAACCACAACCACGACTGGAGATGGAGCGCTTGACACTTTTACTGGGTCAGGTAAAGCCTTTAGCTCATGTCGCTGTGTCCACGCTGGGGTCCTTAAACATCCTCCTCCTTGAGAGCAGCCCAGGATCAAAGCTATGAGAGTGTTCGCCTCTGCAGTCAGCCAGAAACCCACTTTACTGAAGAGCTAATTGTCCTACAATTATGTGTTTTTACAAATGGTGTTTGGAATCCTTCTGCCAAATCTGCAGCCTGCGCTGCAGCAATCCCATGACTTTCTCATTAGCAGAGCCAGCTCTCTTCATTATTTTATAGACTGCATGATCAATTTAATCATTAGGCCCATAATAGCTAACTTTGTTCCTTCAACTTGCCTATTTAAATTACATTAAAAACTGCCTTCTGCCCAGCCTTCTAGATGTAAAACTATCCATTTGATCCCTTCTAAATAGCCTTGTTTCCTCTCTGGGTTTAAGAAAGTCCTCCTGTGTAGGCAGCTGAGTGACAGGTATTAAAGGTTAATGGGTTTCTGGAGAACACATGCTGGTTACATTAGAACCCAGCCTGGGAGAGAAGTCCTGTGCTTCAAAGAGAACAATAGTGTGTCTTTAAACACCAATCCTTTTCAAATATAAATACCTGATAACTCACAGCTGGTCACAAAGGGTACAAATTGAAATGATTTAAAGACTTTTTTTTATATTACTGTTTTGTATGGCTTATTATCTAATGAATAAAATTTTGGAAACTCAAGAAGGAAATCATATATCTCAAAGATAAACATGAAACCCAGAGAAGTGTTATGGTAGTTAAATCTCAGTTCCGTAATTCTGCATTAATACATTTTATGTTTATCCATGGTCTCTTGTGCATGGATTTTATGTGGGTGTGCTTTGTGTACAAAGAGTTGAGGTATGTCTTTGAGTCTAATATAGCATTATGGAATGTATTTCATTTTTTATGGAAACAGATGATCCAGCTTTATTATTTCACACTAATTGGAGCAGTTGTCATACATGCACATAAGTATTAGTACTGCAGATGGAGGTAAATACTAGTGTACCAACTGTGCTGATCTGTGCTTTTCAGCAATTCAGCCGCCTCACAGGAGATCAATAGGCACCAACACACTGCATCGCTCTGTTGTGCTTGCTCACCATAACTGCTATCAATTTTCTACAAAATGCGTGTATATGAATGAACCGGGGGGAAAGGGTGTGAGATTGTTAAGCAATTGCTATTGTGCTTCAAGAATATACAAGTTCGTGGAAGGCTGTGTGGGACATCTGCAGCTGATGAGCTCCAAATGTAGTTTTAGAACTCTACAGTTCATTTTACAAATAAAAATACTAAAGTCCAGAGAGATCCCAAAGTGGTTTGACCACATATTCAATCACAAATGAGTTGAGAACCATGTGCTCATAATCGGGCCTTAATTATGGTATTCTGGTGGGAAATATGAGGACAGAGAGAGAATAAGTCCAAGCAATGGTTCTATTTTCTATTCACTCCTACCACCTCTAAAGACACCTTCCTAGTCTTCTGATAAGAATTCTTGAGGGCTCCATGACCTAAGTAGAGTAGTCACTTCCAACATATGATCATTTAATCTCAGTAAATTCAAACTTAGTGAAGCAAAGAAAAGTTGTTTTCGGTTAAACTAGCCACATACCAATTATGTAATTCCATGGCTGGTGGCCACCTGAGAGAAAACACAGATACAGAACACACATAACTCCATGAAAGCTTTACTGGATAGTAGTGGTCCATAGTGGGTCTTGCCCATGACAACTGATGATTCTGAGGTAGCTATGGGCTGCACTGTGAGATGCTCAACAAGATTCTAGTCCAAATATCAGCAACACCCAAACTGTAGTACTACAAAACATCCCCTACCAGATTAAATGCCCCCACTACTTCTCTTCTTCCCTAAAGGATTTAAGTTTATACAATATGTATACATATACATATATAAATATAAATAAATTTATATAATAGATAAAAGCCTTAACATTTTTTTGTTCCCATTTTCTGAGAAACTGGTGATAGGCATTACAAGTTCTTAAATCATTTCTCAAGATTTTCTAAAGGTTTTGCTTCTTTCTGTTTGTAGACATGATAAAGTAGAATGAATCCAGGGCTTTGAAGATTGTGTATGAGTTCCTGAATAGCAATGAGTCCTGACACAAAGGTTTCCAGATTATCACAAAGCAGTCGGCAGGTCTTTCTGGAGAGACAGCTTCTACAGTGATCAGCACAATCACAGCTCATCCTAATCGGTTATGTTGTTCAGTACAGTTTTCTAGAAACTTACCAATTTGAATAAAAATTAGAAGTTCTAGTAAAGAAGTTTTATCCCTTCCATAATAATCTTAGTTTTCTGAGCCAGAGGTTTTGCCTTCCATCATTTCATAGACATTAATATAAAATTCCAAAGGTCAATCAAGCCTTTGAGGTGTTTGGGTGACAATATTCTCACAAGGTTTAGATTCATTCATTGAAGGAAAAAAATTCTATATGTTCAGAATGGTGTTCATGTACATATAGGTCTTTTCTGAAATATAGAATTCTGCTTTGCCTAATTTAATAAAAGATGTTATAAGTTAATATTTCTTGTTATTTTGTCTTATTTGAAATTCCTTCAATTTTTCAATCTTGAGGATAGTTAGTCTTCAGTGTGGACAGTTCAAGTTTTTCTTGTGCTAATATGTAGTCAGTCCATCAAAAAGCAGAAAAAGCAACCTGGAATTAAGCCTTTCTTAATGCAGTTTCTGTTATAATATTCAATACTGTGGAATTTTGGATAATGTAAATTTAGCATCCGTGGAATATTGTACAAGGGTCTGTTTTCATTAATCTGATTTCAAGTTTTAAAATTTTCTTTTTAGTTTCAGAGAATTTAAGTAGAAAGTAATGTTTCATTTCCAGCTGTATGTAGGAAATTCACTTAAATTCAGTTCCTAAAATGTTTAGAACTTAACCCTTTTAAAGTCACATTTGATGACTTTCAAGACTGATTCACAGCGTGGGGGAAACACATGCTTATTACACCATTGCTATGAAAATTAAAGTTTGACTTCCATACTCGACACATACCAACTAAACAGCATCTGAAGCACATTGCATTCATGTCTGTGGAGCTCACAAGGGCACTTGATAGCACTTGGACGTAGGACTGTATCATATTGCATGAAGCAGTCAGCAACATAAGCCTATTTGTCACTCTTTGCCAGTCTAAAAGTTTAGCTCCAGCATTCATAGGAGCAACTCAGAAAGGGTGGAGTACTTTGAAGTTTAACTATGATTGATTAGACTAAACTCATGCCAGCACTGGGTTGTGTACTACTTTAATCTTTTTGAGATGTGAATGAACAGCAGATGGCCTAATAAAGACACTCTGTGTGCTCGCCCAGTACGGACCGGCTCTGAGGGAACTGGTTCAACATATTCGAAGCCATATATGTGCAGTACATCTGTCATAGTCATGGCAGATGGCTAAAGGGGAGAAAGACTTCTAAACTTTTGGAAAGATTCCACTGTGGGGTGCAAATTTGAATGAAATATTAAAATCACCTGGCTTTCCCTCCTAAGCTCTTCTCCAACAAATATTATTGTTGATGGTTCAAAACAGGCTTGAAAATAAAATTGATACACATTTTACACCACGCAAAACACATTGGATTATAACCCATGCTCTTAGTGCACATTCTTACTACAAGAACATTTTGACTGTGCATTTTTAAACACCCACCTGACTGATAGGACAGAAGGAAATTGGAAATCGTGGAATTCTACAGTTGAGGAATGACAGTTTGAACCTCAAACTTCTTAATGTCTATTTTAATTAGAATAAATATGGAGTCAGTATATCAAGATTGTATTTGGTGTAAAAATGTTAAGTTTTCCCATTTAAAACATTGACTTTTGTACCATGAAAGTTTACTGTGTAACCAAAGGCATTTGCCAATAAGCTATCTGAATAGAAAGAGCACACACTGACCTGAGAAAATGGAAGACTAAGGGAGTGTTTGTGGGAGGAATGGGCACTCCATACTCTTGTAACAAAACTTGAAACACTTTAAAATGAAGATGGTGCCTAACCAACTGCTTCTTTATGCAGTGAATTTGAGGAAGTGAATGAACTTTAAGAATTGCATATTTAATCCACAATCTCCTGAAGTAGGTTATGTACTCACTAGTGAAGATGTGTTCACGAAACGATGCTTCGTGTACTGTCTTTTTGTGTCTTACAGTAATAACGAGTAGTGGTTACAGCCCCAGATCAGCGCACCAGTATTCCCCACAGCTGTATCCCTCCAAGTAAGTGCCCAGCACATTCCGTTTTGCTAGGGATGTTTCTGAAATTACATGTGTTCATTTGTACCTATATAATATGGCAACTTTATATTGAAAACATTTATGCATATAACTATTGAAGCATGAGAGATGCAAAGTTAGATTAGACATGAAAGAGTCTACATTGCACGAATTCAAAATAGAAATATCACATACGTATGGATAATTCCTGTCATCTCTATGTTTTCATGCTGTGTGTAAAACAAGTAGAAAAAGCTTCAAAATCTTTCAAACCAGAACACTTGAATATTATTAACTTTTAAATTTGAAGCATTTCATGCACAAGTTTGAATTTGTTGAAAAATGGGGACTTTTCAGCTACACAAGGTATTTGCTTCAAATGTTTAGTACAAAAAATGATTTTGTACGCTATCTTGAAAATAAGTAACTATCTTTGTTTGATACTAATTAAAAGGATAGAACTTGAAATATATTGGAAAATTTAAATATAAATATGCACTGAATTTGACTTTTAAAATAAGCTTATACTCATTTTAAGGAAAATTAAACAGTGATTGGCTATACAAGAAAATATATAGAAATCAAATTTTACCCAAACATTAATATTTCATAATCTAGTTGATCACTGAAATATTTTCTTAGAGTCCAAATTATGGCAAACATACTTCTGAGAGTATTATGTTGTTTTTATAACTGGTATAATCATCTGTTTTGAGGGCAGGACAAAAAGAGATTTCAAGTTGAGCTAAATTGAATTAATGGGCTTACATCAGAACTCATCTGTTTGTCAGCTATGCCAAAATTCTAGCTTTCCTATGCATGCATATGAAAATGCAACATTATGCTACTCCACATCCAGGATGCTTTAAGTATAGGCCAAGAACTGGATTCCAGTCGGGAACACTGTATAAAATGAACCCGACAAAGGGAATGGCATTTCATTTCTTTATGGAAAGGTGCATCCTTCTTTCTAAACTTCCATCTGAGTAGTGAATACTTGGTGGGGTTTTTAAATGGTGTGCTGGTGTAGACATGAGCAAGAAATGATGATATAGAGGCACTCTATGCTGTCTCAACACAGTTGCTTGTTTTAGAGCTGCTACCTCGCCTGCAAGCCTTTGAATTCCTTCCTCAGGTCATCAGGCTGGCTGGCATCAAAGCCAAGGCTCCTTTTTAAGCATTTATTCGCTGTCTCTCAGCTTTTATTCATTTCTGATAAGTCGGGGATATGGAGGGGGATTTGCTTCCTTGGTGTTACAGGGTCTCACCGAATCAAAGCTGTCTGATTTAATATGCAGTCATTGTGCCACAGTAATGCTATTTTTCTGATATTTAGGCCCTATCCACACATTCTTTCTACACCAGCAGCTCAAACGATGTCGGCCTATGCAGGCCAGACTCAGTATTCGGGGATGCAGCAGCCAGCTGTCTACACAGCCTACTCACAGACAGGACAGACCTACAGCCTGCCTGCTTATGGTAGGTAATCACTGTTGACTGGTAGATGGCTTAACATACTAGTCAAAGTCCAGGCGCAGAAGGAGATTCTCTTACTAAACAAGTGATTTGCTTGTGTGTTTTCTAAACAGATCTTGGTGTGATGTTGCCAGCCATCAAGACAGAAAGTGGGCTTTCCCAAACTCAGTCTCCATTACAGAGTGGCTGCCTCAGTTACAGCCCTGGGTTTTCTACCCCACAACCGGGCCAGACACCTTACTCTTACCAAATGCCAGGTAAGTAGCCAGGCATAAAACATGTTCCTGAAAAAAACATAGATTCCTTAAATGTTACTGTGTAACTACAGTTACCAAGATGGTTTTAGTCTCACCATGGTTCATACAATTTCCTAAGAACACACAATTAGCTGGGCAGAAGCCTGAAGAAAATTGCTGGATCCAGGTAGAGAGACAGAACTCAATAGAGCATTTCAGGTTAAGCTTGGGCAGGAAATGAAGGCCACCTGAAAGCCACCAGGCCAGGCATTCAGAGGTCTGATGTCTTTTCTCTGTCAATGTTCTGAAGTGATTCATGGTACAGGGCTGGGGAGGCAGCTCTTCAGGTAAATGAAAGCAGAGTTTTTCCTTTTTTCCCACCATCTGGTCTCAAATAAACATACATATGCTTATATTAATTACAAAATGTTTGGAATATAGCTCAGGCTTATTACTAACTAGCTCTTACATTTTAATTAACCCATTTCTATTGGCACGTGGTCCGTGGCTTTTCCAGTTCTCTAGCATCTTTCTTCTTAGGCAACTCCCTGGTTTCTCTCTTGACTCTACCCATTGTTCTCTTTGGATTTTCAGTTTGGCTTTCCAACCTAGCTTTATTCTGCTTTGCTATAGGCCAAATCTACTTTATTATCAACCAATGAGAATAATACATATTCACAGTGTACAGAAGGATTATCCCACAGCAGGTTCTTTCAGAAACCTTTGCCAGCTGTTAGAAGGGGCCAAGAATTTCATAAATCTTCTTTCAGATCTCTCAATTTCAAATTTCAGTAACAGCACAACAAAATTTGAGAAATGTTTCTCCCACTAAATTCTACAAAGTGACATATTTTTAAACATTTCACAAGAAGTTATTGATTAAATAGAATATTTTCTAATTTACACTTGGAAATTTTACCTATTTCTTGAGTATGGAAGTGTTATTTTGACAAATATTTTAATATAATATATAATGTAGAAGTCAGGGTAACTCTGTATGTGCATGTGTACCAAGCTTTCATAATTGATTTCTGGTGAAACATTAAGAATCCATTCTTGCAACCCATGTTACTCTCAGCCAAGGTGCATTCCAACATCAACACTTTCTTCTTGAGTTAGCTGCAGCTACGAACTAACATCTCTATCCTGCAGACCTCTCCATGATGAAAATGTATGTTTCATTCATCTTTCTGTGCTTGGCTTCCTTCACTGGACACAGTGTCCTCTGCCCCCATCCACACTGCCATGAGTGACTGAATTTCATTCCCTTTTACAGCCGCACAAATATGGGAACTGCTAAAGTGCATTTTCTTTCCTCTAGGCTCCAGTTTCGCACCATCATCTACCATTTATGCAAATAATTCCGTTTCCAATTCAACAAATTTCAGTGGCTCCCAACAGGTACTGTAGTTTTTCTATTTACACTTTTTGGAATTTCTGTTCTAGATTTTAGAAGGTTTTATTTATTTATAATTTATAGTTGTTTATAATTTACAACTGTCTGTAATTCCTTTATTTATTTTTATGCAGAGATTGAAGAATCCTGTCTCTATCTACCTTTCTTGAGTTCTTGGAAATGGTCTTTTAAAATTTATTTTTAAAAACTTTTAGGTTTATTTTAATTTTTGAAATTAAAATATTACTTTCCTTTTTAATCACTAACCACTCCCATAAGCTCCTCTTCTGCTTTCTCTCAAATTTATGGTCTATTTTTCCTTGATTTTTGATATATAATCTTACATATATAAATACAACCTGCTCAGTGTGTATAACATTACTTGCATATATATTATATATGAATGCACAGTTAGGGAGCTCTTCCCTTGGGAAGTCTAAGGAGAGATTCTATAACTACAATTTTATTGATTCATTAAGAATACCATATATGTATATTTTGAACTTAGTTATTGTAGGTTGCCTTGTAAATGTATATGATTTTTTTTTATTTAAAACTAAGATTTTAATTCAACAGAGTAAAAAAAAATACCTATTCAAAACTATTGGGTAGTTTTTATTCTCAATGACTTAGATGTGTTGAATATTAGAAGATTGCTCATTAAACACCCGAGTTATAGTCATTTTCATCATCTGTCATGTTATCATGAGAAATAATGCATGTTTTTATCTCAAGCTATAGTAGACAGTTTTATTTTCCTTGGTAGAAATTGCTCATTTAATGTAACATTACTTAACTCATTGAACTAGAATCAATTGTAAGATTATGGCATACATTCTCAGACAGGATTCTAAAACATAGCAGCAGCAACTAAATAAAAAGCCTGCAGAAATGCTGGTGGCTTTTAATTTTTTATTAATTAGATCTGTATTTCTTTTAAAAATGTTTGATTTCCCCACCTTCCTGACAGGTTTACTTTTCTCTGTGGTTACTGAGCCTGCCTCTAGTGACCCTTAACTCTTCTCCTCATCGTGTTTTGCTCACGTTCTCATGAGTTTTAAAATAAGGATGATAGGATTACATATGGGATGAGAGTCAATGTTCCCACATGAACATCCTTGAACAGAGCGCCGATACTGTGGGCACTCCGGAACTGTGTCCTTGCTTCCTGATTCTCGACTGTGTTCAGAATAACTGAGACGGAAAGGAAGCTGATTTCTAGACAAACAATGTACTCCTTTACTGTGGTCCAATTACTTTGTTTTTATACATTTTAAAATGTAAGATATTTCACAAAAGCTTCCTTTTTAGATTTAATAACAAGAATTCTATTGTTGCCTTCTTGTAGTTTAGTATCATAACGAAAGGCTCAAAGGAAACTTAGTTTAAAATGCTATGTAATAAAATTGTAGAGTCATAGAAACATTATAAATTGTCATTAATTTAAAAGTACCTTATAGCACTATACTTTCTAAAAAGAAAAAGAAAAGAAGAAAAAAAAAACGTGATGACTTCCACTAGTTAGAATTTACTTGTTAATTTACAGCAGACATTTATTGAGCTCTTGATATGTATCATGTTTTTGACTAGGCACTTAAAGTTAAAAAATAATTAAATCTTTATTTTCTGTTCTCTGAAAGTGGATAGTCCTGCTGAAGAAACAGAAAAGATTCAACACAGACGGAAGGTAGACTAGATGCTCTAACCACTGAGATTCACACTTGACAAAAAGCATCATAAAGGAAACCCTACTCTCCTATTCCTGGGAAGATACAAAAACAATATATAAAGCAGAAGAAAGCTTCACAAACTTTCGATCACAAACAGATCTAAATCATCTGTTTGAGGATTTTGGTGGACCTGTGTAGACTATAACTGTATTTTGGATCAAGGATTGAATACCGTTTTATCATTTTCAAAAATGTTCTGTATCTGAGAAATTTAGGGAGGTCTGTACACTTAGGGACGTGAGACAGTGGTGTGACTAGATAAACTTCCTGCCTGCCTCATGGAACGATCAGTCTACAGAGCGAAGTAGACAGCAAACTAGCAAGGAGACCAAAGACCCTGCTAAAACGTTCCTAGAAAGCTAACGTTGCACAGGAGAGGATTGTTCAAGCCTTTCCTATGGGAGCCATAACTAGGTTAGGATTCATCAGAATGAGGTAACAAGCAAGGACAAGAAGTCACAGGGAGGCAAGACAGCGAGGGTCCGTGTGCCATTGAACTGGAGGAAGACTGGAGCCCAGATCTCCCGTTACGAGAACGTAGAGAAACACCACAGAAAATGATAAACTAGATGCAATCACATAAGGTCCTGTCAGCTTCTTCATGGGTGGAGTAGACTACCGGCCGCGTAGGACCTTGTAAGCTCCAGTAAGTTGGGAGTCTAGGACCACTGGGAAGATGCTCGTGCTTTTGAATAGGAAAATATCTTATTATTTGTGCTTAGAAATGAAAATGAGACAAATTAGAAAAATGAGTGCCATAGCATCAACAGGAAATAAAGGATGCTTAGATAAAGGTGGTAAGAGTAGAAATAAGAGGAGGAGGGATATTGGAGATACATCTGAATGAAAAAAATATATCACCTTCTCCAAAGGCCACTACCACATTTCCTGGTGTGCAGCATCCTTTTCTGGTGAGGCCAGAGGCAGGCTGGCAGAGCTATGACACACAGATGCTAGAGTTGACTTCCCAGGCTGTAGCTCCACCCTAGAAACACATGAGCTGGGTCACCAGGCTGAAAGTCTCTTCAAGTTCTGTGCCTTAGCAGTTTTTGATGTAAAAATGGCTGTCAAAGTTCCATAGACAAGGCTCTGAGTGGCAAGTGAGCAAGTCCATTTAAAGTCTTAGAACAATGCCATGGCCCAAAGTCAGCATTTCTTCTTTGTTTGTCATACCTGTTTCACTTTAAGAAGTGTTGATAAAAACTTCTTTGTTCACGTATTGAAGTTTTCTACTTGGCTCACAGAACGGGAGGGGGAACATCAGATCCTGAGGTGAACAGGCTAATAGAATTTCATTTTCTGTCATATTACTTAAGGCTTCCTGGTAATACATGTGTTTCGTTATATGGAGAATTTTTCGTTTTTGGAAATGACATCAAATATGGATCTTTGTTCCCTTCAGAACTTATCACAACAGGGGATCTTCATCCTGACCAAGAATTTGTCATCACTGATAACATTTTTTGGCTAAACCATGCTAGATATATTAAACACCATTTATCACGAGTCTTTACTCATCATCTTAATATGTAAAAGGCTATTGGAGGATCATTTTTCATCATTTTAAGGTTCTTTTTTTTAATGGAAAACAGGTCAGGGGAGTTGGTTCAATGCTTTCCTTTTTTTACGTGCAACAAAGGAGCAAAACTAAACGTTTTGAAAAACTTCACTGAAGACTAAGTAAAGCCTCAGGTAGCAGGTTGCTTGTGGTGGCGAGAAAATTAGTTTATTTACTTGAAAATGCTGGACAAGATCAAATAAAAAAAAACAAGACTTAGAAGAGGAATAAAACTTAAAAAAAAATATATGTATTTAGGTCTATGTAGAAGACAGAAGTAGACACAACACCTGCTTGCCGGTGTTGTTGGGCAATGTGTAAAAATGAACGAAATGAATACGAACTGATTTACGAATATGACCTCTCCCTTTTCAGTGCATCACACTAGTGGCATGAAGCAATATATTAGTCATTATAGGGGGTGAAATGAAGCATAAACAAACTTCAGCCAGATTCATATTCATGTTTTAGAACTAGTTTGCAAGCCTAATAGAGAAATTAATTGCTGCTGCATTTGTGAGATGCTCAGATAGGTTCCTCTCATTAGCATCAACTCCAAGCCATGGATTGGAAAGCAATTAGAGCTGCACACTAATCGTTTCGTTGCCGTAGTGATGGTGTTTGCTTGCTTGCTTGGACTGCGCTAGATGGTGATTGCTCTTCTATATCCTCATACCTTATTTTTTGTTTCAGGATTACCCATCCTACACAGCCTTTGGCCAAAACCAATATGCTCAGTATTACTCGGCATCCACCTATGGGGCATATATGGCATCCAACAACGCAGCCGATGGCACATCATCGTCAGCCTCAACTTACCAGCTGCAGGAAGCTCTCCCAGGTCTGACTAGCCAGCCAGGTAAAGATCTTCACCCCAGTGAAATATTTCAAAATATCCTGCGCTACCTAATAACATGGAAGAAAATGAGCCTTGCAGAGACACGCCTGAAAACTGCCAGACAGTCACGCCGATGATTAATGAGTTTTAGCCTACTGCATAAGACGAGGCTCCTAGGCATTTCAGAAATTCCCTTTTGAGTTGCGAGGCAGACAGGAGATTTTAACCTCAAAATAATTATGTGTGTAAGAATATCAATATGGGTGAGTGAATCTTTTGCCAGAGCCATTCTTTATTCCATGCAAACCTGACAGCAAAGAGCAGCTGCAATATTATCTCTTGAGTGCTTGGGGGGGGGGGGCTTCCTTTTTGCAGGGGTGGGGGGACTGTATAACTCCTTTACCTTGTAAGGCACCAGAACTCTAACCATCAACATTCCTACATTCCTAGGATTTGAAGGATCAGTGGTAGGAAGTTTAATATCTTTTCCTGATCAGTGAATAGTAAAGTTCATTGCGAATTTTTTTCTTTCTTTCTTTCTTTTTTTAATCTGAAGCCAGCTGTCCTCTTGTTAGAATTGTGTTTGCTACCAGACTTTAAAGCTAGCTAGACCAGCACTGAGCATCTTTCCCATCAAAGCTCCATTCAATTGTCCTGGAGGAGTTACCAAGATGATTCTAAAATTATTAGGAAAAAGTAAAGGAATTGGAATATACAATATTTTTTTGAAAATGTGAACTAAGTTTGAAGAATGGCATTGCCTAATCTTAGGACTTGCAAGGTGCAATAATCTGTGGTCTACAGTGATGATCAAAGCATACATACATGATCGGAGTAGAGAGAGAAAATGGAGAACCCGGGATCAAGCCCGCCCTGAGAAATGGTTGGTGAAAGTTGTGTAGAGAAATTCTAGTGGTTTTCCACAAACGGTCACTGAAAAACTGAAAATCTCTGTACAAAAGAAGAATCACAATTCATATTTTTGTAGAAAAATCAAAGTAAATCATAACCCTTTGGGTAAAAAAATTTTAGAAGAAAAATATGCAGGAAATCTTTGTGATCCTGGGAAAACAAACATTTTCTTGGATATTATAAACAATCCTTAAAATTATTACTAAGTTTTATAAAATTATAACTAAACAATCCTAAAAATTATAAAATTATAAGGGTTATAGACAACCCTTAAAAGCAAAGGAATAATAAATTGGATTTAATAAAATTAAGAGTTTCTCATTGAAAGACACTGTTATAGAACCAAAAGACAGGCTACAATTGCAGACAAAATTTTTCTAAAACACATATCTGATACAAAACTTCTAATCTAGTATATATAAAGAATTTTCAAAAGGCAAATAAAATATGAGATTGATCTTTCTTAACTTTTTTTTTATGTATGTGTTTTTTAAGCAATTTTGTCTGCACAGCATACATGCAGTACCTGTAGTGGTCAGAAGAGGGCATTGGATATCCTGGGACCTTAGTGAGCAGCCATGTGGGCGCTGAAAATCAAACTCGGGTTCTCTGTGAGAGCAGTCAATGCTCTTAACTACAGAGCCATCTCTCCAACACCAGAATCGATGCTATTTTATAAATCTTAATGAGTTTAAAGTTTATATTTCTAACTTGAGTGTTTTTTTTTTCAACTTCTTTTCTGCTTTTTTGTTCTGTTTTCTTTTGTTTTATCCAGTTGGGAAGGGAAAACACAGAGAAATGTGGTCAAAATTCTGTAAAATATTTCTAGCAGTGAGACCAAGACAATCTAATTTTATCAGTCAAGCAGTTATTTACTTAGTCTCTGGCCCCAACCATGTGCTAGAAAACAGCATTTCATCAGTGACAAGAACTTTGCATATAAATAGCTTGAGTTTGAATAAGAAAGCATGCAAGCAATTAGCAATGCATGGGAGGAGGGAAAATCTCAAATACTTAGCGAAAGATTAAGAAGTAAACCATTTTGGATACAATGAAACAACAATGAATGAAGGCTCCCTCTTATGTCAGTAACAGTCGAAATATGCTTATAGCCTGAATTTGTGAAATGACCACATTAATTAATTTTGCTTCTGTGTTTGGGATACTGTAGCAATCCACCATCCATCCTTGCTTTTGTCATCTTGGTTAAACATACACAACTGAAGTCAAAAATATTAAATAGAAAAACAACAAAATTGAAATGTTTTTTAAACAACAAACTATTGTTAAATAGTTTCTATTTTATTTTTAATTACTGTCTCTCATTGTGCCTGACTTACAAATTAAACTTTATCATGGAAATGTATGCATAGAAAAAAAAAACATGATATGTGGTTTAGCATTTTTAATGCCTTCCAGGGTCAATGTAGCATCATGGTATTCTTTGTGGCTAAAGAGAGATACTGTATCATCTCTTATCTTTTTATCATTACAATTATTGTCTGTTGTGTGTTTATGTGTACAGGTATGTATGCATGCACATTCAGATAAGCATGCCCATGCACACAACCACAACATGCATGTTGATCTGGGAAGACACCTTAAGGAGTCAGTTCTCTCCACCACATCGATCCAGAAAAATCAAACTGAGGTCATCAGATCTGGCAGCAAGGCCCTTTCCCAACTGAGCTGTCTCGCTGATCCCAATATATCATTTCTAGCTTTGGACCCAGCAAAAGGGTTTTAGACAGTGCAGTTTGTCTTTGGTGACCCTGCATTACAGTTTATGTCTTCCTTTTCCTCTTACATTTTCCCTTTTATGACTACACAGCTCATCTTGATTTCCAGGCCCCTGTTTCTCTTAAATCTTCTGTTCAGGCTTTTCTCCATTCTCTGCCTCGCTGAGCATGGTACCACAGGCAAAGTCAATGCCAAGCTGGGGCCGTTGAAGCAGCTGGGACCCCAAATCTAAGTAAATGATTGATCTCAAGATCATTCAGCTTTCTGCCCTAGGAACCTCACTTGTTAATCCCAGCCTTAGTCATATGTTTCAAAGCTGCCTCTGTCTTCTTTCATTTTATCAACGATCCGGCCTTAGTTAAAACACTTGTCAGAATCCATGTTTAGCAAGTAGTAGGGATACTGTAGACAAAACGATGCTTGCCTCATTGTTCAATAGCATCAGAGAGATTTCCCCACTGAGAATGCATGGGGACAGAATCATAGAAAAGCTTCTCATCGGGGTTCAGAGACAGACAGGATGATGTAGGTGCATCTGAACTGACCAGACTACAGCTACCATGAATGAAAACTCCTTGCACACTCAGTATGCTATGTGAGGTATACAATTCTAGTTCAAATTTGATTTTATTCAAATTTCTATCTAATCACAACCAAGTTTCTCCACCATTCCCAATACAAAGAATATTTCTTTTGTTAGCATTGTCATGAGCAAAGGGACCATGACGGTGATACCCACAGAGTCAGCTGATTTGAAGTAGTAGGAGCTGACTGACTTTGGACTGACAGCTGGGGAACCTGCATAAAACCAAACTAGGCCCTCTCAATGTGGGTGACAGCTATGTGACCTGGGCACTTTGTGGAGCCAAAGAGCAGTGCATGAACTGGCTCTTTGGAGCCCATTCCTTAGGGATGGATACCTTGCTCAGCCTAGATACAGGTGGAGGAGCCCCTTGGTCCTTCCTCAAGTGATGTGACAGACTTTGTTGACTCCCCATGGAAGGCCTCACCCTCTCTGAGAAGTGGATGGGGCATGGGGGTAGGAAGAAGGTGGGGAAGAGCAGAAAGATGGGAGGGAGAGAGATTGGCATGTAAAATAAGATTATTTTAAAAAGAAAGGAGGAAGAAAAGAAAATACTGAATGCAGGCAAGTGCTCATACTACTTGGTGGCCTGGGAAGGGGACATAGTCCAGTGAGATATTGCTGCACACACTGTTAGAACGCAGCATTTCTTATTCCTCTAGTGGTTGCTCTTGTTAACAAATACAGTTTGGCAACTTTTTCAGATCTTGTCAGACTTGTGCTGGATTTACAAAGAACTCATTTCATCTAGTAACTACTATTGTCGCACGTGTGATTCTCGAGAAATTCTGTGATCTCTCAAAGTCTTCTCTCAAAGACTTCACTTTGATTTTAGCCTTTTCAGAACTGGCATGCATCCAGAAAGCAAATAAATTCATAACCAGAGGCTTTTTCTTTATTAATGGTGAAATCTGATGGCTTTAGTTCCAGGGCAGGAAAAGAATTCCCCATTAACTGATTGTGCATCTCTGGGCTTACAGAGCAGACCTGACAATTAGGTCCACAATTTTTTAAAGAGCATTCACGGTGGACTTCCATGTTTAAAATAGAAACATACCTTATCCTTATATTCAATAAGGGACAGCTGCTTGTTCTGATTTACAGATAACCCTAATGAAATAAAGTTGGAGCTAAATATCCAGACCTTACAAAGGGCAGTTCTTCATTACTGTACTGATTATGGGATAATTATTCAATCACCTAGAAAAGCCCAAGGCAACTGGTAATGACTGATGTTATTTAGAAATTGCAAATAGCATTCAATTATTTATTTTACCTTATTAGGTGGTTTGACAATGGGTTTAGAGATACACTACCATGCTGATTAAAAGCAGACATTTCTAGTTCAGTGTCCTTACAAAGATCATTCTCTGTACTTAAAATGAAGTTTATCTGAGGTAAATTGATGGTTTTGATTTGCATTCTGAAAGTTAGCATTGAAGAGGAAAGATATTTTTACAGTTCCCCCTTGCAAGTCTTTTAAACATTTAAAAATTAAGAAGTGTGTTTAATAATGTGTAACAATGTTATCCTTGACTATATGATCTCAAAAAAACACTGTGGGGCATTAGTTAACTGAACTTAATAAGTGCTCAAGGTGAATGAAGGACCTGATAAAGCCCTTTCCACTCAGAAAGGAAGCTAGCTTCTCGGGCATGACTTAACAGCCCTTAACTAACTTCACGAAGCAGAGTGCGACATCTTCTCCATGATACGGGCAAGATGGTGTAAGTGGAGAGAACCTTTTAATTTCTACATTTGCCATGGATTGCACCCTTATGAAACTGGCAGAGACATCAGGATC